TAACACAACAAGGGGTTTGCTTTTTGCTTTTTTAATTAACAAGGTTTGAGAAAACTGTGAAGGTCCAGACACCTTGCAAAAGAGACAGCCACTCTGCAGAGCCTGCTGCCACTCCCACGACTCAGGGGGTCAGTGGCCGCTCCTTCATCCCGCCCGTGGAAAAATTGGCCTTCATCGTCCCCAACAGCAGCTTCGCCAGTGCCGTCCTCCCCTGTGCGACCATGGCTTTGCGGAGCCTGGTTACCTCTGGCGAGTGGTTGTGGCAGACAGCCCTCAGCTCCTGCTGCAGGTGCTGCTGGGGGAATTTCTCCTCAACTTTCTTAACCCACTGCTCCACCTCGTCCATCAGTGTTTTCTTCTGCAGCTTCATCTTACCAAAAAGCAGGAGCAGTGTCTGCCAGAGGCACCACAAGCTCTTGGTGGTGCCTGCATTGTCCACTTCAATGCCCTGCTTGAAGCACTCGATGGCGAGTGTTTCCTGGCTTTTAAGCCACAGGCATTTGCCCCTGAAGAGCTGCAGTTTGGGTATGGTATCACCCAGGTCAAACTCCATGGCTTTGTCCTGGAGTTTCATCCACCAGGAACAGTTCTTGCATGGTGTCCATGCTCATGCAATAGCAAAAAATACTAAAGTCGGCGGGGGGGAGGACCCTTCGAGGTGATTTTTAGCATGCATGAGCTTTCTTCTGTCAGGCACCGGGCCCTGTCCCATCTTGGCATGTTCCAGATCTTGCAGATACATCTTCATGTGGGTCTGGATACCAGAGGAAACTCATCGGCTTGTTTTATTAGCCAGTTGCAGGATGGATGACGAAATGATATGAGCACAAACCACTAGCACACATCAGGTCAGCTCCTTGGCCGTGCCAAGCTACACCAGAGAGCCAGGCCAGCTTGCCCAGCGCAGGCACCCCGGTCCCCAAAGTGTGACCCCACAGTTAGCAGTACCAGAAAAGGTGGTGCAAGCCCCTGACATGCTGCTCATCCTGTTGACCTTGGCTGTAAATTTGGTTCCTGGTGATCATGGGGTCCTTGACAGCCCATCTGCGCCCCCCTCCAGGCTCAGACATGGGGGCAGCACGCCCGAAGGTCTTCAGAGGTTGAACCACTTGGCCACAGGAGTGCACCTGAAGAAGGGCTGAGAAATCAAAAGCTTCTTTCTTGTGTCGTATCAGCTTTCACCAGTCCAGTCTGGCAGATGGACACCCCCTGGCACCCAGTGACCACCTCCAAACTGCACTTTTCAGCCTCCTGCCTCAAGCTCAAAAGAAGTTAAACATCTCTGAAGAGCAGCTGTAAGGACATATTAAAGTACTCCACTAGAGGAGGAGATTTCACTTCACCAAGCCTCACTTTATGAGGAGTTAAATAATCCTGTCTAAATATACGGAAGTAAGAACGAGTCCTTATTTTATTTAAAAATGGGATTTGAAGAAATCATCATGATTCTTCTATAATGGGAAATACGCCCTAATGTGCACTCCTGTTTATAGGAGGCTGGAAATGGGCAAAATCAAGGGATTAAAGTGTGCATTTTTATGCTCTTGAGTGATTTAGGGCCATTTAATTCATTAAATAGTTGAGCCAGTTCTGCGAGGTGACTCAGCGTCTTGTAAAACGTTGCCCAGAGGGACCTGGGGAAGTCCCTCAGCATCTCGGTGCCAGAGCCAGGATCTGGCCCAGGTTTCCAGGCTGCCAGGTAACAGCTTCTCTTCCAGACCAGCCTTCACCGGTTTTGTCAGGCAATTACTTCTCCCTACGTGTTTCTCAGTGTAATTAAACACGCAATGCAAAAGCTGTCTGGGAGAAGCGCCGTGGCTGTCTCAGAGGCTGGAGGAGCAGGACAGGTCTGCGTGGGAAGGGGACCTGCCCACCCCTTGGACACCAGCGCGCTGTGCTGGCCCCGATGGGGACCTACCCTTGCCAGGGTGCAGTGCGCCTGTCGGTTGAGCTGTTGGTCCCGCAGGACCTCCAGTGCCATATTGCATATCGGTTTGGCCGTCTCCTGCTTGCCCAGGAAGTGGAAGATTTTCACCAGGTGGTTCGGGATGGAGGGGGTTGTCTTTCACCGTTTCTATCGCCTGTTTGAGCCACGGAATGGAAGCACGTTTCCGTCAGTGACTTATTGCCTGCTGTGCTGATCAAAGGGACAAAAACATCTTGGATTGATTCGCCGGGGCGGTGTTTTAACCGGGAGGGTTTAAGCTGTACAAGAGACATGGTCTGTGGGGAAAGCTGATATCTCTTATTAAATCAACAGACAGGACTGAATGTGGGGCTAAGCTCGGGGGTTATGTGCCTGAAAGCATGTCTGTGCTCCTTATTTTTTCCAGCTGTGCTGGGGGAATGTAATAAAGGTACTGCTGTCCCTGCAGCCTTTCACCGAACTGCTCGCCTGCTGCTTTGCCAGGGGCTGATTTATGCCATCAAGGCCAAACGCGTGGCCTGGGAGGGGGGTGCTCTGTACCTGGGAGGATGGAGGGTCTCTGCTCCTGTCTGGGGCCTCCCCTCTTCACCCCGGGGGAGTTCCAGGAGGAAAAACACTGAAGACCCGGAGAAGGTGAATGAAGGAGCCGAATCAGTCCCTGGCACAGCAGCACTGGGTATAGCACCTTGCCAAAGCAATCGAGGGGTACGGTCTCGGAGAAACCACAGTCCCGGTTTCCCGTTGGGGTGGTGGAAAACATTTCTTTCCTTTCCAGCAGGTATCCAGCAGGTATTTCCTTTCCATCCCCCAGGTAGCATCAGGGCTAGGGAAGAGAAGTCAGGGCAGGTGAGAGGCCAAGTCATTCAGCGGCCAAACCTCTCTCCATCCTGCTGAGGATTTGCAGTTTGGACTTGGGGTCTCGGCACAGAGAGGCGTCACATCCTGACTGCCCCCGGACATGCTCTTACACAGTTTGTAGGGTGCGCGAGCCCACAGCACTGGCTCACACACCTGCCTGACTAACTTTCCTGAGTACTTTCATTCCCTCCAGTGATGTTACTATAACTGTGCGACTACAGGACAACGTTTTTATGCCCAGTGAAGCAGTAGTTGCAGGCCTTGTCTTAGATTCGCCCCTCGGGAAGTTACTGGGGAACATAAAATTGCCACACATCCCCTGCACCTGGCAGCTACCCAAGGTGCAGGTGCTCCTGGGTAACCTTCGGGTGCTTTCAGACAGCTCCTCCTGAGCAGACAACACTTTTGAAAATAAACAATACTGATAAAAATATAGTAATGACATCAATCAGAAGAATCCATATCATCATCTGAGGTTCAGGGCTACCTTGGATGTGGGCACACACAGCAGCCATCAGTGCTGGATGTGTTACTCTCCTCAAACCAGAACAATTACACCATGAGTTATGTGTGTGTAGG